AGACAAACCAGAGCTTGAACAACTTAGGATGACCCATACAAAGTGATTCATTCTGAGAGACAGCAAATTGCCAGCAGATGCTAAATAACACACAGCAAAATGTGGATGAAGCAAGAAATACAGAAAACAAAACAACCCCTAAGAATGCATACATCTCAGACTGAGCTATTGCTAAGACTGTTCCCACCAGCCACAGTTACTGTTTGACACCTGCGGCCTGGTTCACTACTGTATTACTTCTGTTTTACATCATTGTAACTCCATTCAAATCAATAGAAAACTGGAGTGGCACATAGGCAAATCAGGCTGACAAATCATATATGCTAATGTACACTGGTTTGATACAGAAACACTGAAGGGAGTGGTTCTACACTATGAGATGTTTTTAATGGCAACTCATGATACAAACATTGTTAGGCATGTATTGGCTTTTGACTGCAGCAGAAACAGGGTGACTAGTCTAGAGGAGAAATAATGACTATATCATTGAGTGAGAGAGCAGCAGCTAGAGAAACTCTGCCCTTTCAAAATGTCACTGCTATGCAAAAATTGGTATTTGCTGCTTGTTTTGTATGCTTCTTAACTCTTCTTTATTGTTGTGATTATTTGAAACTTGCATAATCTTATCAATCGTTCTTTAAAGCTCTTCAGAGCAGGGAATTTGTCTTTGCCTGCATCAACGTACCATGAATATTTACGGTGCTATCTAAGTGATAAATATAACAATAATGCAGGTTTTTGCCATTCAGTGCCTGATCCAGCTCTTATTCAAGTCAGTAGGGGCCTTTCCATTGACTTGAATGTTCTTACAAGGCCTGATTTGATGACCATTCTCAAGTAGCGGAAGCCTCAAATTTAGGCTATGGATATCAATGACAGAATTCTTTATTAACTTAAATTGAAGCAGGATTGGGCCTGTACATTTTGGTTTAAAACAAAATAGATTGTTGCTGTTTTTATCAAAGCCTACGCTGAATAGAAAATAAGAGTTTTTTTGTTTTAGCACTGAAAATACATCAGGATTTCTGTTTTGTTTTGTTTTTAATTCCTCTACAAAGCTCAGAACACAGACACAACAGTATTCTGTTAGGGCATACTCACTAACCGGTCTAGTGTCATTATCAGAGGTGAGTGAAATGCAAAAGGTAAACATACAGCAAAAATGGTGATAATTAAATAAAATCTTTAAAATTATTATTTTAGTTACTAACTTGGTGTCATTCACATAGGCAAGAAAGTGCTTTTAAAAATAAATTATCTTTATATCTTGTTTCTGTAAAATTGATTGAATGACCCTAAACTACTTACAATAAAACTGAAATAAAAGAACTGTTGAGTGTACTCTATTTACGATGGTATTGAATACGTATTTTTCTTGTGTTTTGAATCTTTAATGTGAGAGCTCATTATATGCGCCACTATCCATGTTCTTTAGTCCTCCAGTCCATTATATGATGACAGAATGTGAATTATTTCTATATCCTGCAGTCAGACAGGTACAGACATTTGTGACTAGGGTTGCCATCTTTCTAATTGCTGGTAACCAGATCCCTGAGGCCCTGCTCCCTGCCCCACCCCTTCCCCCAAAGCCCCACCCCCTTCTCCCCCTCTTTCCCCCAAGGTTCCGCTCCTGTCGCTTGCTCCTCTCCCCTTCTCTCGCTGGATCGTCTCCACCACCCTCTGTCCCCCCGCCATCCTCCTGGGCTCCCTCTGCTCTGGGTATGTCACAAGAGCTGCTGCAGCCTGACAAGGAGCCTGCCTGTAGGTAGGAGTCAGCCCCGGCTGAGCAGGGCTGGTATGGATTAATTACCCAGCACCTACCCTCGCCTCACGGTAACTGGACTTTTGGTGTCTGACCGGACACAGCCAGGTCCCCTTTTTTATCTGACTTTTTGGTCGAAAACTGGACACCTGGCAACCCTAAATGGCACACGGACACAGAAGCCAAAAACCAAACTGTCAGGGTTGCCACCCATCCAGATTTTACCCAATCTGTGACTGTATTTTGAAAGATTTCAGAGTAGCAGCCGTGTTAGTCTGTATCTGCAAAAAGAACAGGAGTACTTGTGGCACCTTAGAGACTAACAAATGTATTAGAGCATAAGCTTTCGTGGGCTACAGCCCACTTCTTCGGATGCATATAGAGTGAAACATATATTAAGGAGATATATATACACACATACAGAGAGCATGAACAGCATATCAGCATATCCTATAGCCTCCTCCATCCAAATCCATTGTTGCCCCCTAGCAGGGTGGGGGGCATTGAACCTGGGTCTCCAATAGCCCAGGGGGGTGCACTAACCACTAGACCAACAGTTAAAGTAGGTGCTACCTACCCCTTTTTTGTGTGGTCTGAGGCAGGTTCCTAACTTATTCCCTCATGAAACATCTCTAGGAGCCTATGCTGTCTGACTAGAGGCAGCAGGTTCCCATTCGTAGATTGCTAAACAGAACTATGTGCTTCCCTGCAGCCTGGACTTAGGCACTTATCGCTGACGGAGGGGATGGGGATTAGCACACAT